ATGAATATTATTTCACACTTACTATGACTTGGATTTGGCCTGAAACATACTGTAACTATTTCCGTGGTTCTATCCTGCTGGTGGCCGGCCTGGTGCTCTGGGGTAGTCAAAACCATTCCAAGAAACCTCAGGGAAATGTCTGAATTCTCCCATTGGGTTGGAATTCTGTGAATTCTAATGGGTCTTGAAATAATTGGATCGGTGTCTGAGGCTTGGAGAGGCAAGAATTCTCTTTTGCTGAACGGGATTTGGCGTGAATTTGGCCTTAAGATCAGAACTGGACTATCTTGCTTGCTTCCTTAGGAAGAAAGCTGGTGTTTGCCCCTCAGCCTCCTGGTAGCTCAGCGGGTAGGAAGCTGGTCGTGAGGTCTTATATGTCAGAGATCTGACCTTGTTCTTAGCTGAGGTCGGAAGGCTTCCTCTAGAGCATTTGCCAAGTGACCTTTGTAGGGGAGCAAAACTTGCCACCCCAAGATGTCTCTTTGGCATGCGGATTATTTCGAACTGAAAACAATCAAGGCCTGAAAGACTCGGGAAGAAATTTTCACCTTCCCCCTAAGTGCCTAAAAGAATGTACACAGAGGGCCTGTTCCCAGAATAAAGCTATCAGCGGAGACATCTGCAGAGAATATGGGCTGGGGGCAGGGGATTGGGGGAAGAGGACCTAGAGATCAGAGTCCACTCTGTGTCCCACTGTCTCTGCCTGGCCTGGCAAACATGTATTTACCAAACATTTGCTTGTCCATCTCTATGTCAATTGCCTTCCCACCCTTCTGAAGTCCCAAACCCCTACCCCCAACAGCCTCTTTTGTCTTTAGCTGAAGTTGGTATTTAAGGTGAGGGTTTCGTCCATTTTCGGAGTTACTCAGTTTTCCTGGGGCTCTCCCATGTATACATGTTCCTAAACTTTGTGTGATTTTCTCCTGTTAATCTGTGTCGTGTCAGTTTAATTTTTAGGCCAGAAGAACCTACAAGGGGAAAGGGAAATCTCTTCCTTCCCAACACCTTTGTGGTTAAAGAGCACAGCGAGCTCTCTCTGAACTTCTTCGATGGGGGAACCAAAGGTTGGATTCGCCCGGCTACCTCCAGTGAACATGGGTGAGTGTCTCCTCCGAGCTGCGGGGCAGGAGGTACGGTGAGGACAAGATGGTCCTGGTCTCAGTCCTCAAGGAGCTGACAGCCTAGTCTGGGAGACAGAGAATGATGTGCTGGCGTGAGCTCCTGCTGGCTCGGGAGCGTGGATAAACAGAAATTTTGCAAACCGATTGTTAAACACACTGCTATTAAAAATTAAATTATGTAAACTTACAATTAAAGCAAATATAGTTAAAACAAAGCTAATAAATACTCAAAGCGGGCTTCCCTGGTGGCGCAGTGGTTAAGAATCCGCCTGCCAATGCAGGGGACGTGGGTTCGAGCCCTGGTCTGGGAAGATCCTACATGCCACGGAGCAACTAAGCCCGTGCGCCACAACTACTTAGCCTGCGCTCTAGATCCCGTGCTCCACAACAAGAGTAGACACCACAATGAGAAGCCTGTGTACCACAATGAAGAGTAGCCCCCGCTCGCCACAACTACAGAAAGCCCGCACGCAGCAAAAAAAGACCCAATGCAGAAAAAATAAATAAATAAAATATAAATAAATAAATACTCAAAGCTTATCAGTTCCTAATCATTTTTTTGTGCCTTTTATGATTACCTGTGTTCTTGAGGTTCTCCACATCCACTGTGTCTGCATGGTGGAAATACTGTATAATGTTGCACAGCTTCACACTGGTAGCTTGAAATTGACCACGGTAGGAGTATTTATACTATGGAAATCAGCAATCACTATCAACCAGGAATATTTTTTCAGAAAACCAGTTATTAACCATTTACCAGCACACCACTGGAGATAGACTAGCAAATATGTGGTTTCAGTAAATCCAGGAGGCCACATGGGCTGTAGGAATTCCGTCTAGGGTGGAAGAGTGTGGAGGAGGCTTCACACAGGAGGCAGGGCTTAAGCGAAAGCCCTGAAAGATAATTAGGAGTGAAGACCCAGAAGCAAGAGAGGGCAGAATGATTGACCGGAAAAGATGTGTTCTTGCCTTCAGGGGATCTAGGTCCAGTGGGAGAGACAAAAGAGGAAACAGGCAGAAGGAGGTGAGCAGTCAAGTGCTCTGCTGGGGCTGCTTTGGAAGCACAGAGGAAGATACTCTCTTGGTGGGGGTGAAGGAAGGCTTCCTGGAGGAGGTGATGTGGCATCTTAAGCTGAGATCAAAAGATCATTAGAAGCGGCCATATCTCTTGGAAACTGAGGTAGAAAAGCAATGTCTGCTTATATATTAAAATATGTTGCCCACATATTCCACATAAGAGTAGAGTAATAATTCTTTTTAAAAGGAGTTCTCAAGAAGTGCCTCAGTCTCTTTAGAGCTTATGTAATTCTTGATATGTTGCCTTGTGGGTATGAGGGGGGCCTCAGTTTCTAGGACAGCCTCCCATCCATTACAGGGCTTTGCTTGACAACAGGCCTGATGGCAGGCTTCCAAGTTTTGCCTAAATACTATAGGGGTTGGGGCAGGTAGAGAAGGAAACTGGGTGCATTTGTTAAATTCTGAACTAAATGGGAGCAAATCTCTCATTTGGGGGAGTAATTCCTAAGTCCTATATTCAAAAGCCTGGCATTTGCTAAGTCCTTGGGTTTCCTGAGCAAATTTTTAAAAATTAATTAATTAATTATTGGCTGCGTTGGGTCTTCGTTGCTGCGCGCGGGCTTTCTCTAGTTGCGGCGATCAGGGGCTACTCTTCACTGCAGTGCGTGGGCTTCTCTTGTTGCGGAGCATGGGCTCTACGCACGTGGGCTTCAGTAGTTGTGGCACACGGGCTCAGTAGTTGTGGCACATGGGCTTAGTTGCTCTGCAGCATGTGAGATCTTCAAGGACCAGGGCCCGAACCCGTGTCCCCTGCATTGGCAGGCAGATTCTTAACCACTGCTCCACCAGGGGAGTCCATCCTGAGCAAATTTTAAACCACACCATTCTCTTCTCAATAATCTACATTCATATAAACATCTCAACCTAGCTTTTCTGAGGAAAACTGGCTTTGGGATAAGGATGGATCCCCTTCTGGCACTTTTATGGGGAGCAGGAACTTTGAACAGCAAATAGGTCTCTAACTACAGAGACTCTAAGAAATGATGTGGTCTCACTTTGGTAATAATACCTGGGGAAAATACCTACTTTCTCTTTGCATTTGGTGACTTTAAAAAAAAAAAACCAACAAAAATCTAAAGGTCAGATTAGCAACCTAGAAATGAAACTAGAACGGAGGTGAGGAAAGGAGGAGTAGTGTAACACTTTACTCCACGGCTGAGAAGAGGAAACAGATCTAGTTATCCAAGCCTCTGGGAGTGAAATGTGGGCCCTTCATTAAAAACAGAAGGAATCCCTTTGCAAATAAACTCTTGGAAAGAAACCTGGGCTAAGCCTTCTCAGAGACTTTGAGTTTTCATTGATTCCTTTGCATTCTATTCAAGTTCCTTGTTTGCAAGGCACAGAAGTTCTTCAAGCTAGTTCAGATCAAGGATGGTGGGGACATTGGATTAACTCAGAAATATTTACTGAGCATTCCTATGCTCAATGTGGATTGAGCATGTCTGTGATATAAGCAGACATTGCTCCACTATGTGCCGGGTCGTGAGCTAGTAGTCCCAGAAGCAGTGACCAAACTGGACACAGGGCCTGTCCTTATAGAGCGTATAGTCTAGCAGAAGAAAAGCACTACACTCACAATTACACGATTTGTTATCTAATTCTTAGTGTGATGTGCACTGTGAGGGAAAGGTACGAGAGACTGTGAGATTTACTGGGGTGGAAGAAATTTTCCTCTAGCCTTTTAGATTCTTCTAGGTTCTTCTGGCTGGTCTAAGAATTCAATTGACATGAGACAGATTAACAGGAGAAAATCAAACAAAGTTTAAGAACACGTATACATGGGAGAGACCCAGGAAAACTAACTCCCAAAATGGACTAAACCCTCACCTTTAATACCAAACTTCAGCTAAAGACAAAAGAAGATACTCACGGTAGTGGTTTGGGGCTTCAAAGGGGAGAAAGACAATTCACATGGAGGTGGAAAAGAACATATTTTGTAAAAAAAAAAAAGTTTGCTGCTTCGTGCAGAGACAATGGGACACAGAGAGTAATTATAACAGACTTTGCTGTGTTCCTCCCTGTCTACACACCTAGTTCTCACTATAGTTACCAATGATGGTAGCCTCCTGCCTGGAACTGGTCCTCTATCTACACTCTTTAGGCAGCCAGGGGGAAGGCCAAAGCTTCTTCCTGAGTCTTTTTTAGACCTTGATTGTTTTCAGCTCGAAATAATCCACATGCCAAAGAGACATCTTGAGGTGGTAAATATTTCTCTCCTACAGATCCCATAAGGCCCCAACCTAATGAGACTGGAGGAAAGGTCAGAGAAAGAAGTGATATTGAGAAGGGTGAGCTGTGACAGGGCGAGAGAGAGTCATGGGCATATACACACTAACAAACGTAGTAAGGTAGATAGCTAGTGGGAAGCAGCCGCATGGCACAGGGATATTGGCTCGGTGCTTTGTGACCGCCTGGAGGGGTGGGATAGGGAGGGTGGGAGGGAGGGAGACGCAAGAGGGAAGACATATGGGAACATATGTTTATGTATGACTGATTCACTTTGTTATAAAGCAGAAACTAACACACCATTGTAAAGCAATTATACCCCAATAAAGATGTTTAAAAAAAAAAAAAAAGAAGTGATATTGAAAAGACTCAGGAGGGGACTTCCCTGGTGGTCCAGTGGTTAAGACTCTGCGCTCCCAATGCAGGGGGCCTGGCTTCCATCCCTCGTCAGGGGACTAGATCCCGCATACCGCAACTAAGACCTGGCATAGCCAAGTAAATAAATAAATAAATAAAAAGTTTTAAAAACCACTCAAGAGTATGCCTTTAGCTGGGATGAGGGGGGCTTATCTGGTACCTTTGTTTTTCTTCCTAATTCCCTTATCAGGCAATGCATTCCAAAATCTGCATGGAAATTGAAAAATTAAAACTCAGAGACAATGTCAAAGAATAATTCTCCAAATGTATTTTATATTCCCAAGATCCTTCAACCAGAGTGCTCAGGTATTTTCCCTGAACAGATGTTCCTGGATCTTCCATTCACCCAGGGGTTTATTTCTTGGCTGCTCCAGACAAAATGCTGTTTAACCTAACATTTAAAATGTGGGCGTCTATAGCACTATACCCAGAAGGCACCCCAGAAAGGAATTTTCATTGGTAAATGCATTGCCTTAGTCATGGGAATGGTATGACTAACAGGTTGTGTGAGTGCTGATTACTTAAGTATGACATTATTGAATTTTCAAGTTTTAATTTTCTATCTTCACAAACAACTGTCTTAGTCTGTTCAGGCTGCTATAACAAATTACCATAGACTGGGTGGCTTAAACAACAGAAATTTATTTCTCAGATTTATGGAGGCTGGGAAGTTCAAAATCAAGACACCAGCAGATTCAGTGTCTGGTGAGAGCCTGATTCTTGGTTCATAGACATTCTTGGTTCACAGCGTCATCTTGCTGTGTCCTCACATGGTAGAAGGGGCAAGGGAGCTCTCTGGGTCTCTTTTAAAGGGCACTAATCCCACTCGTGAGGGCTCCACCTTCATGGACCTAGTCACCTTCCAAATGCCTCACCTCCAAATACCCTCACAGTGGGGGGTTAGGATTTCAATGTATGAATTTGGGGGAGACACATTCAGTCTATTGCAGCAATTATCTATTTCTATAGTACTGTAGAACTAGTTACACTGTTGGCCTATGTTTCACACTTTACATAGAAGGTATCATGTGCTTTTGACAGTTCTATTGTGTTTGCACAGTTACTTCTGTTGGGACTCAAGGCAGGCCAACCCCCAAAATGTCACAGTGGCATATTGATTATTTTGAATTAAAGTTAATTAAGAAATGGTCAACGTAAGAGGGACACTCTGACCTCCTTTCTGTCTCCTTGAAAGCAGGAAATAAATCTCATGTGAAAGGTGCACGCTTATCACCAGAGATGGGGAATTCAGGCCAAGAAGACTGTAGAAACAAACCTTGTTACTTCTTTCATTGACTACCTCAAGCTCATACTCTGTTTAAATTCTTCTCTAATTGAGCACCCAAAATCTACATTTCTTTGTCCTGTCAATTCCTTACAAATTTATTGTTTCCTTGTCTAAAAAGTATAAAAGTTGCCTGCTCTGGCCACTTCTCACGTTCCATTTCTATGAGACCTCTGTGCGCATGAACTGAAATTTGTTTCTCTTTCTCCTGTGAATTCGTCTTGTGTCAATTTTATTATTAGTCCAGCCACAAGAACTCAAGCGGGGGAGAGGAGGAAATTTCCCCCTCCCCGACACTTTCCATCTGGGAAGTTGGAGAGGAGGCCCTTGCATTGACCCCTGCCCACTGCAGCCTCAGTCAAACATTGCCTCTGACTAAGAGCAACTGCCTAAAGGTGACAAAGCATCAGCAGACACTGAGCCTCTGGACAGAGTCCCATTTTACCCTTCCTACAACCATCTCTCCGTTATATCCAGGATAACTACTGGATAGAGGAGGGGCCTCTTCTCTTCCCACAGCCGTTTCTCTCTTGCACGCTTATGGCGCCACCAGTACAGGCAGAGTTGTCTGGACTAAGAAAGCAAACTTACCTCAAATTTGCCCAAAACTCAGCACTTTCCATTTTGCAGAAACTTTTTTCAGTTATAGTTGCATAAAAGAATATTTCCTCTTTAAATTTCACTTTGAACTCTACCTTTGGCTGAATCTAAATATCAGAATGAAACTCAGTGAAAACCACAGTGTAGACCCCAAAGAAGTAAAGGTTTACTTGAAACCTGAAGATTTTCTCAAAAGTTTTTGAGAGGGTGCAGATAGAAAGAACCAGCCTCACTCAGAATTACAATAAGGAGTGACATCTAAAACCACAGGTTCTAGGTCTTGGCCACCACGAGAGGTGGGTGGTGAAATAAGAATCATAATAATGATAATAATAATAATTATCACTACTACAACTACTCCTGTGTATTAAGTTTTTACTGTATGCCAGAAGGTGTTATGCGAGCAATTTTTCAAAATCTCATTGGCTCATGCCAGCAACCATCTGGGTAATTGTGATTAAGACCTCACTTTACAGATGAGGAAATGAGGCTTAGCGAATTCAACACAAATGGCCCATATTCTCACAGCCTGTAAGTGTCAGAGCTGGGATTTAGACCTACATTTACCTTATGTCAGTGCCCGTGTTCTTAACTGAGGCCAGGTAAAGTGGGAAATATTTGAAGTCATAATAAGCTGATTTCCAAATCAGGGGAGCAGAGTGTCCTTATTATGTCTGGATTCCTATAAATTAATGACAAACATCACACCCGTTATACATATACAATTGTATACATATATACTCTCTGAAGTTGAGGATGCTGGTGCTCTGGTTAACTCTTATTCTGACTACACGTGAGGCTCACCCTTATTGAAGTGCTTCTTACTGTGTTAATTAAAACATGTTTTATGGCCTGACCAGAAATGCTCTGTCTTGGAGCAAAGAAGGACTAGGGGGAGGCAGCCTGATAGAGGACTGTAAGCTTCAGCTAGGTTAACAAAAGTATTTTGGTTTTCTGTGGAGTGACTACAACGCACAAAACTGCTTATTTTGACGATACACTTTGGGGCTGTTGTACATGGAGAAAAGCTGGGACCAGGAAGGTAGATGAGTAATAACAGCACTAATAATAGGCATGTATGCAGCCCTTCTCAGTTGACGAAGGACTTCATATATGGAATCTCTCACTTGGTACAAATGTTTTTCATAATGGTTTATGTTGAAATAATTATAAATTCACAGGAGGTTGCAAAGAAATACACAAGGAAGTCCTGAGCAGCCTTCCCCTAGCTTCCCCCAAAGTTAACATCTTACACAACTATAGTACAATATCAAAGTCAAGAAAATTGCTACTGGTAAAATCCAGAGATCGTATTCAAGTTCTACTTGTTACATACATACGCTCTTGTGTTTCTGTGTGTGTGTGTGTGTGTGTGTGTGTGTGTGTATGAGTGTGGGGGTAAGACTCCATGCAATTTTATCACATGTGAAGGTTTGTATAATCATCACCACAATCGAGACGCTCAACTATGCAATTACCACAAAACTCTCTTGTGTTACACTATTATAGCCACACCCATCCTCTCTCTCCATCCCTGGCAACCACAAGTCTGTTCTCTATAACTATCATTATAGTTTTGTCATTCTGAGAATGTTATATAAATGGACCTATACAGTATTTATTCTTTTTAGATTGGCTTTTGCTCCCTCAGCATAATTCCCTTGAGACTCATCCAAGTTGTTGCGTATATCAGTGGTGCATTCCTTTGTATTGCTGAGTTGTATTCCACAGTATGGTTGTACCACAGTTTTTTTAACCATTCACCCACTGAAGGACATATGGATAGTTTCCAGTTTGGGACTATTAGAAATAAAGGTGCTATGAACATTTGTGTACAAGTTCCTGCATGTGAATTTAGGACCATAAAGTGGTTTGTAGTATTCCTTTATTATCCTTTTCATGATTACAGGATCTGCTGTGATATTTTTATTTTACTCCTGATGCTGGCTATTTGTTTCTTCTCTCTCTCTCTCTCTCTCTCTCTTTTTTTTTTTTTTTTTTTTTTTTTTTTTGCTGTACGCAGGCCTCTCACTGTTGTGGCCTCTCCCGTTGCGGAGCACAGGCTCCGGACACGCAGGCTCAGCAGCCATGGCTCACGAGCCCAGCCGCTCTGTGGCATGTGGGATCTTCCCGGACCGGGGCACGAACCCGTGTCCCCTGCATCGGCAGGCGGACTCTCAACCACTGCGCCACCAGGGAAGCCCTGTGTCTTCTCTCTTTGTACCTTTTCAAATTTGCTAGAGGTTTATCAATTTTATTGAGTTTTTTCAAAGAACCAGCTTTTTGTTTCATTAATTTTCCCTATTGATTCCATTTTCAATGTCATTGATTTCTGCTCTTATTATTATGTGCTTCCTTCCACTTTCTTTGGATTTATCTTGCTCTTCTTTTTCTGGGTTCTTAAAAAGATTAGCTTATTGATTTGAGACTTTTTTCCTTTTCCAATGTAAGCATTTAGTGATGTAAATTTCCCTCTCACCACTGCTTTAGATCCATCCCATATATGTTGCTACGTTGTATTTTCATTTTCATTCAGTTTTATGTGTTTTTAAAATTTCCTTTGAGACTGTCTCTTTGACTCATGGATTATTAAGTGTGTTGCTTAGTTTCCAAGTGTTTGGAGATTTCACTTTTATCTTTGTTATTGATTTCTAGTTTGATTTTGGCCAAAGAACATATGCTGTATGATTTTAATTCTTTTAAGTTTGTTAAGGGTTTTTTGTTTTGTTTTTTATGACCCAGGATATAGTTATATTTTTGAATGTCCCATGAGTGCTTGAAAAAGAAAAAGCGTATTCTGCTGTTATTAGTTGTAATGTTCTATATATGTCAATTAGATCCTGTTGGTTAATTGACTTAACATTGTCTATATCCTTGCTGATTATCTGTCTAGCAGTTCTATCAATTGTTAAGAGTGGGTTATTGAAGTCTCCAACTATTATTATGGATTTGTCTAGTCCTCCTTCATATCTATAGATTTTGCTCACATACTTTTCAGCTGTGTTTTTTGCTGGTTTTCTCCATGGAATGACCCTTTTATCATAACGTAATATCCTTCTTTGTCTCTGGTAATTTTCCTTGCTCTGAAGTTTACTTTATCTGGTATTAATATTGCTACTTCTGCTTTCTCTTGATTAATATTTGCAAGGTATATCTTTTTCCATCCTTTTACTTTCAAATTGACTATATTGTTATATTTGTAGATTATTGCTTAGAGACAACATATAGTTAGGTCATTTAAAAAAATCTATTCTGCTAATCTTTGTCTTTTAATTGCTGAATTTAGGCTATTTACATTTAAAGTAATAATTGAATTGTTAAGACTTAAGTCTGTTTTTTCAATATTTGTTTTATGTTTGTTCCCTATTTCTTTTTTTTTTTTTTTTTTTGCGGTACGTGGGCCTCTCACTGCTGTGGCCTCTCCGGCTGCGGAGCACAGGCTCCGGACGCGCAGGCTCAGTGGCCATGGCTCACGGGCCCAGCCGCTCCACGGCATGTGGGATCCTCCTGGACCGGGGCACGAACCCGCGTCCCCTGCATCAGCAGGCGGACTCTCAACCACTGCACCACCAGGGAAGCCCAATTTCTTGTTCTTCTTTTTCTTTCTTCTTTTCTTCCTGTGGGTTACTTGAACAACTTTTTGAATTCCACTTTATTTATTTATAATGCTTTTGAGCATATTGCTTTGTACAGTTTTTTTAGTGGTTGCTATAGGTATTACCACACACATACATAAATTATCACCTACCAATATTGGTGATATTTTACTACTTTGTTGACATTTTACTACTTTGAGTGAAGTACAGAAATTTTAATTCCATTTAGGTCTCTTTACCCTCCTCACTTTTAAAATATAATTGTCTTAAATATTTCCTCTGCATGCATTGAGCTCCATATCAGGTAGTGTTATATCATTTGCTTCAGTCATAAAATATAATTAAAGAATCATGTGGTGAAGGATAGCCTACAATGTTTACTTCTAGTTTTACCCATTACATGTTATGTTTTCCTTCCTGAAGATTTCTGCCTTCTTCTGGTATTTCCTTTCTCTTTAGAGACTTTTATTTAGCTACTCTTTCAAGGAAGGTTTGCTAGTGGCAAATTCTCTTAGTTCTCCTTAATCTGAGAATGGCTTGATTTCTCCTTTGTTCCTGAAGGATAATTTCTCTGGATACAGAATTTTTGATTGACATGTATTTTCTGCACTTGAAAAATATTGTTTTATTTCCTTTTGGCCTCCAGGCTATCATATAAGAAGCCCACTGTGATTTAAATTGGTGGTCCCCTATAAGATTACCTATATTCCTGTGATCTTCTTTGGTTGCTTTCAAGACTTCATCTTAAGTTTTTAGGAGTTTCATGATGCTGTGTCTTGGTGTGGACTTTTTTGGGTTTTATCCTAACTGATATTGGCTCAGCTT